GGATAATATGCCACTGGTGACATCTCTCTTTAATAGATGACAGATAGAGGACTGTTTATAAACAATTAGCATAACGAATAATACCAGTCATTTTGGTAATAAGTGTGTAATAGTTTCTTTGTTGGCTTTTGGCGAGGAAATGTAACAATCCCTAACATTCCATCCTATGAGAAAAAAGCTATAAGGACATTGACCTTCAAAGTTAACATTCACCAATACAGAAAGTAGCTTGACACTATATTCTAAGAACATTTATCCAGCAGGAAAAATAATATGAGGGAATTCCCATTAACTCTCACGGTCAAATGTTTTTATAGCTATTTTTCTATTCGAACTGAATGTTAGGGAATGTGACCTCACCTGGAAAAAGGCAACAAGGAAACTATTACAAATACACTACAAACATTACAAGTATTATTCATTACGCTTGCACAAAGGGATTTTTATTATTAATAGACCATATGCTGTTAACAGCCAATCAGCAATGATTTTCCTTTGCAAAAATACAGCAAACTGCACTCCTGCACTTCAGGATGGACTCAGCTAGGGTTATGGTAACATCACAGATATCCTGGAAAATGCACTCCTTGCTGTCCTCAACAGGGGTAGTCCAATGTCACTAAGAAAAGAGGGCGCACCAGCCTAGTGCATTATCGTAAAAAATTTATTGGAAGGCTAAAAAGTAAGTATCGTACTCACAATAGGCCAATAGGAGGTCAAGGCACATCGCACTAAACAGCGGTGTCCAATCCACATTGCATATAAGTCCAAAAAAATTGGTGGATCTGAGGAAGACGTTGAGACCTTGAAACGCATTAGCCTGTTGGAAGTCCAGGGTTCCATTTTTTTGGACTTATATACAATGTGGATTGGACACCACTGTTTAGTGTGATGTGCCTTTGACCTGTTTGCCTATTGGGAGTACGATACTTACTTTTTATGATTTTCCTTTGCAGCTGCATTTGTAATTGTGCTTTACTTACATCAAAATGAATCAGCTTATTTATGTGGTGTTTCTGTTATTTTTTTGCACTCCTGTATATCCTATCAAGTGATCGATCAATTTTAAAGTAGATGTACACTGTAATCAAATAACATTTGGTTAGCTAAAGCACTATTATACACAGTTGCCATTTTTAATTACTTTCATAAAACAATTGCAGCACTAATTGTACATAAGTTGAAGATCCAAGAGATTAATAATAATTATATACAGATGACAGCAAAGTCCATGTAGGATTCCCATATATGGATAGAAATTGGTGCATAAGAAAGAGAATTCCAGTCTAGAAAGAAGACTGTCACCTTCCATTTAAATAAATTGGCCTCTTGCCAAGGTCTGACCACCCAAAGGGTCGGCCAGCATGAGCAGTGTAATATATCTAGCTGATACTGCAACCAGTCTTCAATAGAAATCACTTCCAGAGCAATCAAATATGCTTCTCCAAATTAAAATTCTGAGTAGCAAACTAAGTAACATTGAACTCATGTCTACTTCCCATCCACTAGAGGGATCCGGAAGTGATGTCGGCAGAAGAACAGGAAGTGGGAGTGGTATGTACATGCCACGCCCACTTCCTGTTCCTCCGCCGACATCACTTCAGTATTTAAAAATACTGGAAAACAGGAATTTGACTTACCAGTAAAATCCGCTTATTGGAGTACAGGACGCAGGATCTACAGTCATTACCATTAATTATATGCAGATTCAGGAGATGGGACACTGGCAAAAAAAGGAAGGCAGCTGGGACATCCCTAAATAACCCTTCCAACTCCCATCTAGCCTCAGTTATGTAAAAAGCAATAGGGAAATCATTAGAATAGAGGAGGGTCCTATGCCCTGTACTGTACTCCAGGAAACAGATTTTACTGGTAAGTCAAAAATCCTATTTTCATAGTTGTACAGTGGAGTACAGGATACAGGACGGTATTAAACCCAAAAGCAAACATTTATGGTATTGCAGTTTACCAGTTCTTAGATGTGGTGCCTGCATTTGTTTTCTTTTTTAGGCTTTGTTTTTTATCTGATGATCCTGCCAATACGTCTGTTGTTTTTCAACAGAACAAGTTGTTCTGCAGATGTAGCAGTTAGGGGGTTCAGACAAACCATTTAACACTGACAGGGGTACTTACAATGATCCACTTTTATTTATTTATGTAAAACCTTTATCCCAAAAGGAACAAAACTGTTATAAAGTGTTAGCTGGAGTTTGGCTTCAATTTGTTACTGTATTTAATTCTGCTAGTGCATCTAACACTCCCCCCAGATTAACAATACTGCTGTCCAAAGGTATCTCTGTTGCTCCTTCATCCAGATTGTAGGCACTCTAATACAGGAGGTGTGTTACTGGCCAAATCACCAGGTGAAAAACAAAGGGAAGAAAGCCTAACAAAAAGAAAACGAATGCAGCCACAGCATCTAATGATTGGTAAGCTGCACTACATTACCTTTTTGGTTTTGGGTTTAATACTACTCTAATCATGGGACGTCCAAAGGCAGTCCAACTGAGGAATGAGCAGCACAGCACACAATGCCAACAGGCCCAAATAACAAACAGGTCAAGGCGGTAAGCTTCTTTCAGAGAGATGAGGTCCACCACAGAAATACACTAGAAAAAACTGAAACTAGCTGGGAGTGGAAGGAATTATAAAGTGAATGTTTTTGCAGACTTCTCTTTTTGCCAGTGTTCAATCAAGGAGCTCTGTCTCTCCTACATTTTATGTTTTAATTCTGTATATCAGTTCACTCTCTGCAGTACCCGATTTATTACATGGTCAGTGGTGAGCAGAGGCATCTCCATATACTTCATACACAGTGCAGACATCTCCCTCATATTATATTTTTATCTGGATGGATGTTTTAGCCTACAGTGTTAGGCTATTTTTTCTGTTGGTTGAATGTTTTTTAACTCTTTTGGTTGAATGTAATTAAAGTGTTGCCAAACCCAGAACCCTGCATCCACTATATCTGGTCTCCCACAGTACACAGAACATGGAAGTGCAATTATTTTAGTAAATAGAAACTGCTAAATACCTTTCTCATCAGCAGTTAGAGCAGTCTTGTGACTTCTATCAGTGTCCAGCAGGGCACTAGTTAAAGCTTGTAGGTGGAGTTTTCATTTTGCTCTAGGAGGATGCAGAACCCCTGACCTCTGTCTGGACAGTGAGGATTGGCCATTTGCTGCTCACATGCATTCTCTCAAGAAAAATAAAACTTCTCTAGCAAAACACACCAAACTGAGCATGTGCAGAGTGACTCCACATGATATGTCTTATCAGGAGATAAGAGGACACTGGCAGAAGGAGAGGATCAGAGAAGTCAGGATCAAGCAACGTTTTTACACAATGCAGAGGATTAACCCCTTAGGTTCCACAGTGAGTATAACAAGCATGCTTTACTGTACATACAGACTGATGTTACTTTTGTGGGTTTAGCAACACCTTAAGGCTATTTCCCCTTAGGAGCAAAGGCAAGCAATAGAAACTGAGATTTCACAGACATTATGGGTATTATATGTGACTTTTTTGCGAATGCTACGACAATTATTTTTTCATAAATAGACCCCTAAGTGTCAATTTACAAGCATTAGACCATTGGCATGCTTAGTGAACTATTTTCAATGTTTGCATTTAAGGTTGTACTGCTAGATGTATATTGATCACATAATTCTTATTTTAGCATGTGTACACATATAACATGTTCATATTTACTGAAAGGCACCATGCACACTAGCCTTTTTCTAAGCTCTTAGAAGCTGTTATTAGCATTTTTTCTGCTCCTAAATAGTGTTATCCTATGTGTCTGTGCACACTACTTTAAGCTGTTAGCATTTTTTGAGCTTCAGTTTTTTGGAGTGTTTTTCCAGCAGAAAAAAAAAAAACGCTAAACGCTCATAAACACTGTAAAACGCTACTAAAGCGCTCCTAACAGCTTTTTTCTCGCTTTTTATTTTTTTTTCCTCTATATGTACTGTAAACACACTAATAAAATGATAGAACTCCTAAACGCTACTAAAAACTGCTATTTTTTTATCCAGCATTTTTCCCAGCATTTTTTGAGCTTACATAAACTTTGATATTTCTTTCTGATTTTATTAATTTTTATATCACGTTGTGTGCATAGTTGCTTCGCTACTGCTATACCTTACTGCCTGCTTTGGTTATTAGCTTTGTAATTCCAGAATGCAAGCCATACACATCTGATGGAATTCAGGGTAGCTTTCCCCTGATACCCATAGATTATTTTAATGAGCTTTATTCTGACAAGACATTACAATATGAGCTATTCTATAATGTGCTATCATATATACATTACGTACATTATAAACAAAATAGGTCGCAGGCGAGGCAAAGCTGTATTAATGGCTTCAGCCAGGAATGATTGCAGAGCTATTAGCTGTGGCAGTCAATGATGGAGAGCAGTTGTAAGCAAAATGTGACACTCTATGGAATCACAACAACGTGCTCTAAATACGGCATCAGCGTAACCACACATAACACAATCCCATAGCAATATCACTGTAAGGCCTTCTAGCTCTGCCACTTCCATCTAAAAGTTAATATCATGCTTGTACAATAGTGTAGTAGTAGTTATGCCTTTAGATTAAATGTGTGGCCTTAGGGGTAGTTTAGGTATATTGAAAATGTTGGGGAAAAACTCAATTTGGAATAATAATAATAATAATAATAATATTTCTATACTCTTTATATTCTATATATAGACAACATCATTTGTTGTAATTGAACCATTAATATTTAAATATCAACACAAAAGACGCTTTTGATAGATATTTTTTAAAGTATCCTGTTCTTTTTTTTGCAAAGTCATTTATTTTTCCAAATAATACAAATAAAGTCATTATAATTCAACAAAATGTGTCCCATTAAATGCAGTTTAAAACAGATAAATACGTGTCATGTTTTCTGTCAAACACATTGGTGTACAAATGTAATAAAAATATGTAGTCAGAGTGCTGAACTGCATTTTCCACAGAACACAACAAAAGTAAAATAAAATAAAAATCAACACTGTTGTAGTTAAGACATTAACAAAGTAAAAAAAAAATAGGATCCTTCATAAGAATGGAATTGTGCTCGTTCTTTTACCAAAATCTGCTGCTTCGTTCAGGCAACTTGGTCGCTGTGGATAATCAACCCTAGACATCAAGGTGCAACTTGTCCAGAAACAGCGAGACAGTGGGGGTAAAGGCAGTGCAGGCAGCTTCCAGATAACATTTTCCAGCTCCTCAAAGAGCCATTTATAAGAAAGCAAAATAAGCAGAACACTGAAGTCTTCATTGTATATACACAAATATCAAGGAACAATTTCCATTGTTCTTGTTGAGATGAAGGTGAAAAGTTATTTTTCTTCTTTCATTTGCTTCCATTGCCTTACTGAAATAGTCACACAGAATTTAAATATTCCAAAGCCACTTCATAGCAGAATTTGTATTGATCCTGAAACAGAAGAGAATACAAATTTTCCAATCAAGAGGGAAGACTGGTATAACAGAAAGGTGAAATCATGGCATAATGACATTTTTCAAGTCTGTTTAGTCAGGCTACCTTTGTAAGGGCTATTAGATCTGTATGGATGGAATTATTTGCTCAGGCTTATGAAGGGTATAGCTAGATGAAGTTCCCATTGATACTTACAAGGATCTGGCAGATAAGATCTCTGGTTACATTTGTGTAAAAAATATAATGCAGTGCATAGTCATGGTCAAAGTTCTCATTACTCTGAATTGAGAATTTATATAGCTAATTTTCCTAAAGCCATTGTTTATTAGCTTCAGCAAAAAATAGTTAATATACTGCCATCTTGTGGATATTTTGTTTTTTCTGTGTTCCCTCCCATCTTTTGCCCACTTGTGATGTAATTCCTCTTCCTTTTCACTCTGTCTTTATTGGGATGAATATGGCTGCTAGTTTCTAGGCCGCATGTAATCTGCTCACATCCGAGAACACATTACCATCAGGGGCAGACTGACTATTTGTGCACTCGGGCACTGCCCAAGGGCTCCGGGGTCAGTAGGGGGCCTCATGAAATGCCCCTGGTACCTTTTTATAGGCTTTTTTGGGTGTACTTTGAGTGTGGGCAAGGACACAGGGGCCCCATGATCCCCTATTGCCCAGGGGCCCCATGAGTTGTCAGTCCACCCCTGATTACCATATTTTGACTTGCAAATACCATCTTTTCAGTCATCTGCTACATCTTGTTGTCTGCAGCATCTTCTGCATTGCAATAAAAGACCCATGGATGAGAACAAAGTGTTTGGTGAGTTCAGCTATTTGATAAAGACTGTAATCTGCTTATATGGGCCAGGCACAGAGGTCTCAGCAAGGGATAAGTCACTAATACAATAGTTTGAGTCAGAATAGAAAGCCATATATTATGCAATTTTCTTTTCTTTAACCTCTTCACGCCGGCCACACACAAATGTGCAGCCTCCCGGTGTCTGGGCCTAGACACATTTGTGTGCAATTAAGAAAAACAAATGTGCTGAGAGTGCACACCCTGCACGCTCCCAGCGCACATGTTCGGTACTCATGGAAAGGTCCCGATCTCCTCTTTCGATCAGGACCTTTCCCGATCATGTGACCGCTGTGACGGCGAATCACGGTGGTCACATGACCCTAAAACCCCGCCTCACCTCCCGGCTTCTGAAACCCTTAAAGGGCTGGGAGGCGCCAAGGGGTTAACCACAAGGTGATGGAAAGAAAATTGTCTGATTCCTCCATCAACACATTCAGTGTTGATAGGGAAATCTCTCCTGCAGCGCTATTGTGTTCTGTTGGTGGGGAGTGCAGGGAGCCTTCCCCACCAACACACTACAATGATCATTGCTGGTGGCTATAGATGCCGGCAGTGATCTTACAAAAAAAAAAAAAACAGACAGGCTGGTTCTACTGAAGTTGATTGATAGATAGATTGATAGAAATTCGACCAACTCCTGCTGAACTAGACAAATCTTGATCAATTTATGGCTGGCCTAAGCAACAGGATTGTCATGGGAACTGTCAACAAATTCTGTCTCTGATCAGTTCAAAAAAGAGAGGCTTTGCCCTTAAAATGCTAGCAGTTAGTAAGATGATCATTATTACTGCAGATTAAAGAGGTTTACCAGCAGATATTAACTGCTTTAGCGCCGCCCCATAGCAGAAATACTGCTACAGGGCAGCAGCTGTGTGCAAAATTATGTACATATTCGTGATTTTGCATTTTTTGGTTGGAGGCGTGCGCACGCGTCCTACCCATGCCGCCATTCGTGGCTATGGCTGTCATTCACTGGGTCCCGGCGGTGATTACTCGCTGGTGCCCAGTGATTGCTGAAGATCTCAGACGGGGGGGAGAAGCTGTTAGTAAACAAAACAGTTCTCCTCCCTGTCAGCTCCTGCACACTGCTTTGCATGGCTGTGCACAGCATAGCCATACAAAGCAGTGTGCTTACAGTGAAGCACAAACACAGAACGTGAAGTAAAACAGCTAACCCATTGATCACCCCACATGTTAACCCCTTCCTGCCCAGTGCCATTAGTACAGTGTCAGTGCTTTTTATTAGCACTGATCACTGTACTGGTGTCACTGGGGATGTCAGTGACACCATGTCAGTTTTCCCCGTCAGAATGCCAGCCGCAGTCCTACAGTCCCACTGCAAGTCACTGATCGCCACCATTACTACTAAAAATCATTAAAAAAAAAAAGCCCAGTATATATACCGCCATTTGTAAACGCTATAACTTTCATGTAATTAATTTACACGTATTGGGATTTTTTTTTTAGCAAAGACATGTAGCAGAATATATTTTGGCCTAAATTTGTGATGCAATTTGAGTTTTAACATTTTTTTACTGGACATGTTTAATAGCAAAAAGTCAAAAATATTGTTTTTTTCTCAAATTGTTGGACTTTTTTTATAGTGCAAACAATAAAAAATGCACAAGTGATCAAATACCACCAAAAGAAAGCTCTATTTGTGGGAAAAAAAAGACATAAATGTAATTTGGGTACAGCATTGCATGACCGTGCAATAGTCAGTTAAAGAAACACAGTGCCGTAACGGAAAAAAAAATAGCCTGGTCAGGAAGGGGGTAAATCCTCTGGAGGGCAAGTGGTTAAATAGTGATCAGAAAGCTTCTTTTGTACCTACTAATGGGTATCAGCTTGCACTCCATGGCCTATAGCAGTAGCATCAACTTCCTTCTTGCTCTAACTGTAAAGGGTATGTTGCATAACTCCATCACTATGTCAACCTTATGCCGAACTGAGTGCATTGGTCAAGTAATGTTATGTAATGGGAGCAGAGCAGCATGGCAGTCTTGGGTCTTGGGCTCTGATTACAAAACAGGTTTATTTTAGATTCACAAAAGTTAAAGAGCAACTCTAGGTATGCAACTAAATAAGCAGCTGATATACTGTAAGTATAGGAACTGTTTTACAGGTGAAAGGGTTTGCAATTATGGGACCTAGGCACCCCAGCCGGACAAAAAAGCCAGAAGATCGACCACTTCCACTACAGCTGCAGCACAGATTTGTCAAGAACACACCACCAGGATGCTGATTTGATAATTCCCTGCCATCAATTGTGTACTGCAGCACAGTAAAAGCAGGCCCTCCTTCTCCCAGGCTATCTGCTACAATGCATAAAAATGTCCAGTAAAGAAATTTTAAAAATCAAATTTCATCATAAAATTACAGAAGGGCTCAAAGCAGACAAATTCAGGTATGCAAATTAGTTTCAATTTACAAATATATAACTATTCTGAAAGCATAACTGCATTATTTTGGTATTTTTGTGCCAGCCTGGACTTCAGTTTTTGGCATACCAGTGACACAAGAAAGAAAAATTTACTTTTCAGTTGCTTTCCTCAGTTTCCTATAAAGTTACAGATAGGGAATAGATTTTTCATTGAATCACACATAGCATATAAAATAATGGGTTCTTTCTTTAACTAACCCAGCCACTTTATTACAGTATATATAACTCAGTATACATACTTTGATACATTTTGATTCTAACTTTATTTTCCTCACATGAAAAATGTACTTTCTGATTCTCATCTTGTTTGGCAAATGATATAAAACCTGTGATATGTCCATGTTCCAGTCTGCTTTAGCTGAAGCCCTTTACTGCACAGAGTACAAAAATTCAAATGTGGAAATGTTGATTTTGAAGCTTTATTAGAACATCAGAAAAAAACAGTCCAGACATCTGTCAAAAACTACAGTATTTATCTCTGTACACAGCAACTCATGAGACAACATGTCACTAGGGCTGAAACTAATACTAATTATGCAATGTTGCCAAAATCAGTTATCACTTCCATACATTACAGCGTTATTCTTCAAGACTCAAAAGCTACTTTAAGGGATGGTTCACACTATTTGCGGTGCAGGAAAACGATTCGGACAGGAATTGCATTGCCTTCCTGTTCAAATCACATGCGATTCTTTGCAGTGCAATTTGAGCCACTCATTTTGTATGACTCAAATTCACCGCAAATCACACCGCACCCCAAGGAAATGTGCATGTACCTTTTTTTTTTTTCACTGGAATCCAGATCACATGGGATCCGATTCAACCAATTGCACTGCATTCTGCACTATGGTAGTTTATTGATAACTACAAGCCGACAGCCACAAAGGCTGTCGTTACTTGTAGTTTTCCATGCACATATTTCTGTGAATGAATGACGTGGCCAGGCGGGCGGAGACGGATGGAACATGTTCCCAAAGGTGAACTTATTCTTTTAAACTGTGCAAATTTCTATTATCTGTGTCGGGCATGTCTGTTAGCAGCCCACTGGACAACCATGGAGTCATCACCTAGGACAAATAACTTTAGGCCATTTCTCTAAACTTTTCAGCATTCTAAATTGGTTCTACTAATACAGAAAATCACAGCATACAGACTCATAAGGTTTTCCAAGAGAGATTTTTGCCTTTGAAGACTTTGAAGTACAATTGAACTGTATGAATGCTCCAGGCGGAATGTCCCTCATATTTGCTATTAGTTCCCTAGGCATGCAAAGACTGTTCACATTTGATTAGTCATTGCACAGTCTAACTATTCGATCACTGCAGGAATATCTTGATTAGTCATATATAGCAATAACATGATAAGAACATCTGATTTACCCTATGTAACCTCAATATGCAGAAGCATCTGGTGTAATTCAGTACTAAGAGAATATTTTTTCTTTATGTGCAATGTACAGGGATATTAGGAATGCTATATGACCTCAGAGCCTTGAATGATATCATCTAAAAGCAACAAGATAAAAATCAGACATCATAGTGAAACTCCTGTTGATTATATTTCTTTTCTATGAGGGGCTGGAATAGATACAAATGATAAGGGGATGGCACATTGTCTTCAATTATTTCCAGATTTTAAGTTTGGTATGTGTTAGTTTAATGTGGCCATTTGTGTCACAGATGGGCTCCTTATGGACTATGCTGTAAAAAGACACTGCTTTTGGCCATAATCAGACAAAATCAAATTAAAAAAACAAGTCAGCTCTCAGTGTGCTACATACTATTTGTTTCTTCAGCAGATGTTATAATAGTCTCTCCTACAAGATTAAAAATTCAATAAAGCATTTGAACCTCCACACTCAAATGTTTCTCCAGATGTACTTGTTTTGGCCAAAAAATTCAAATAAAGGTCACTGACTGGGAACTAGGCAGGCATCACAATGGAATTAAACTGAAAAACTAACAGTAGAGATGCACCCATACCTGTTTTTTTATCGGCGAGAATGAATGCTGATACCTGTGCTCAATTACTCGCCAATACCTTTGGGGTGCGATTCGAGCTCACACAAAATTAATGGGCTCAAATCTCACTGCAATGAATCGCATGTGGTTTGAACAGGAATGCGGCGTGATTGCTGTCTGAATTACGTGGTTTCCCACACTGCTCCTGTATGAACCCAGTGTAAAGTCACTATGACCAGCCTGGGCTCACACAGGAGCGGTGCAGAAAACCACGTGATTCAGACCGACATCATGCCGCATTTCTGTTCAAATCACATGCGATTCTTTGCAGTGCAATTTGAGCGTATTCATTTTGTATGGGCTCAAATCGCACCGCAAAGGTATTGGTTTTAGGTATCAGAGCATTTGCACAAGTACAAGTGCAAATACTTAGTATTGGCAACAATACTGATATTGGTGCAACCTAACTAAAAGCAATATAGTACAGATGGGATGGACTCCTATTCTGGCCAGTTTTCTGGCGGGTTTGAAAGTCCTGAGAATCTTTAGATGCGTGATCTGCGTGATATCAGCTTACTCCTTTCCCAAGCGATCCCTTAGGAGGCCACAAGTTAAAATGATGGAGTATATTGGATTTTTATAGATTTGATTTAATAACTCTATGTGAAAATGGACTACATAGTTTTTCTCCAGTGACATGTGGTCTACTTTGTGGCGGGTAATGTTTCTCCAGAGGAAGAGATATGAATCTATACAGTGCTGTCTATCAATCTTCCTGTGGCATCTCAGTAGTAAGTGACCGTTGACTCCAATTTTTTAGACAAAACAGTAACATCTTTTGAAACTCCTAAATGCAAAGGTCCTTGTATTTTATTTGCACTTAAAAGCTATACCTTTATGCACAGTTAAAAGCCAAATCAATACAATAATACTATATGAAAAAATCATTATGTCTGAGGATGACAAAGTATAGCAATTTAATCAAATATGGCAGGCATTGATACTGGCTTCAGATAACCTAGGACTCTCTCCCATTGGGCATCATAGGTCTTATTGAACTTTCTCCTTAACACTCTCCATATGCTTGATTAGTGTTCTGTATAAAGGTATTGATAGGCTGGTGTTGCTTATCAATACTATGTTATTTGCTCAGTGTCTCTGAGCACCAGAAGGATAATATTGCTGTCACAGCAGTCGTTCCAACTTGGAAATACTAAATACATTTTTTTTACATGAAAATGGTCCCTGCTTTAATGTGTTTGTAGTAATTTTGATAACAGTCACATGCTGACACACATTCATGTACAGGGTGTCCCTAAAGTCTGGACACATAGGCAAAATGCATATTGAGAAAAAAAACATATAAACTAGTGATATTTCTTATGTGTCCAGACTTTACGGAGACCCTGTATAAGAAAAGTCAAGTTCTAAGTGTTGGGAGGAACAAGCTGCTATAACATTTGCCTGGAATTATATAGCATTTTTGCATATTGGTTTGTTAAGTGTTAAAAATAACTATTGTATCACTAGCATACTACATTCCTTGAACATGTAGTTTGAAATGGTGACATTAATGTAAATAACAAACATTTGGACTAATTACAATGAGGGGGAATGTTAACGATGTGTATCATGACAAGGGTGAACACAGTCCCTATATTGCTGTTTGAGACATATAAATTGCACTTGTTTGTTTATATTGCCTTTTGTTTGTTAGCCATATACTACATCAAAGATGACTTTTGTCATTTACTGTTCCTATTACTTATACTGTTCACATCAAGTGAAGTTCCAACACTCGAGAAGGACTCTGTGAAGTGAGAAGCTGGCCAAGGTCACTTGGAGTGGGGTGCCAGGTATACATTATAACACTGATCAGTTGCATCCCAGCCCTGTTAAAGTCTTCTTTTTAAAGTCATTCTTTTTTGTGACACCCTGTTCAAGTGAAAGAAGAATGCAAATTAGATTGGAACAGTGGTACAGGATACAATTTTGTGTGAAGTTGGGTAAATTTGCATAATAAACCTTGGAAATAGTGAGAAAAAACATATGGAGAAGCTGTGCTATCATCTACACAAGTGTACCGATAGCACAAGGTCTTCAAGGAAAGACGAGAAGTTGCTGAAGACGAACAACGACCAGGATGCCCCTCTGTCAAAAATGGAGCAGATTGTGGATGCAGTGAGGTCTGTTGTTTGAACATGAGAAAAGTGTGTACAAAACTGTTCCAAAGAACTTGTCACCTGATCAAAAGGAACACCGTCGGCTCATTTGCCAAGACCTGTTGGCCCGTTTGGAAAGGGAGCCTGATTTTTTTTAGGCGAGTGATCACGATGGATGAGTCCTGGGTGTTTGAGTATGATCTCAAGATGAATAAAGTTCAGCATGGTACACACCCACGTCACCTTGCCCCATGAAGGCTCAAACAAGGAAATCCAAAGTTAAATCAATGGTCATTGTTTTTTTTGATTGACGTGGAATTGTCCATAAGGAATTTGAACCTACTGATCAAACTGTGAATCAAATATTTACCTGGAAGTTTTTTGTGTGCATCCTGAGATTGGCTCAGCTTGGATCCTTCATCATGGAAACACACCGAGCACAGTGCTTTGGCTGTTAGAAAGTTTTTGGCTGGAAAACACATCACGGTGCTACCCCATCCATCCTACAGCCCTGATTTGGTTCCTTGCAACTTTTTCATATTCCCAAAGATGAAGAAGGGTTTGAAATAACATTATTTTGGTAGTGTGGATAACGTCCAAGGAGCCACTACGCAGGCTCTGAATGCCATCCTACTTGAAGACTTCCAGGGATACTATGAAGAATGGAAACATTGCTGGGAGCGTTGTGTACACTCACAAGGTGCATACTTTGAAGGGGACAATGTTCAATTGTAAAATTCTTCAATAAAAGAATTTTTAAAGTATCATTCTCATTACTTTCTGGACACACCTTGTGTACCAGTTTATGCTGTTTTTTTATTTATATTGAATCTATCTTCTTCTGTATTTCTGTATATTACATCCTGGTATCCATAATTACGCCTTAATAATAACCGATAAATATACCTGTATGATTAAAGTGCATGTAAACCCTAGTAATGAACTTCTCTTATTTCCTCCCTTTTGGTCTTCTAAATACACCATTGAAAGTGTTTTGCTATAACTGGTCAATAAGTGAAGAAAATATCTTTTGATTTTGTCAGAAATCATATGAGCTGATAACATCCTGTTCTTGCTGCCTGTATACAAGGAGGAGTTATGGAGATAAGGAGGAGAAAGGAGATGAGGTTTTTTGTATTCTTTGTAATCCATCAAATTAAATAGGCAGGGCTGATACCATGTTCTTAGGAAATTTAGAGATGCGCTGTCATGTCAAAAAGGAAGGTAAAAGTACACTATACTTCTGGCACATCATCAACTATATTTATGTACTTGCCTTATGTTTAAAATGGTAAAGCATGGGGAAATGTGCAGGTATTCTACAGATGTACAATTTTTTAAAATTATTTTGCCTTGACATATACTTTAGCAGTGTGGTGGTGCACTGACCATGCTGGGCAGCACACACTGACTAGGAGAATTACTCACACTGTTATATTGGCAGCATTCAGAACGCTTTTCAGAGGTGGTTGACAGGTGGTGAGGAGGCAGTGTGATGCCTCTTCATTGCCTGTTTTAACCCCATTTTTGTCAACCAATGCATTGCAACTAGCAGCATTGCACGCAGTTTCAGGGAATTTACGGCGCTTCCTTGTTTGCTTACCGATCACTTGTCTCTTGTCGTCACTGATCATGACATGTTGAATAGTGTTTGCTGTGGGAGTAAGTTCTCATGCACACTGGACATTTTTACAGTGGCTGTTTTTGGCTTTTGATGTTTTTATCTACAGCCAGTAAACCCCCCAGCATGTTATCCTATGTGTCCATGCACGCATAGACTGTAATCAACATTTTTTGGCTGAAAAAACCCCCCCAGGACTAGTGGGTTTCTAGAGTAGTTTTTTTTTAGCTGTAAAAACGCCCTAACTCTGAAAAACATGGCAAAACACGGTAAAACGCCCAAACTGGCATTTTTTTATGGTTTTTTTTACCACAATTTTTTTTGTTTTTTTTTTATCCAAAAAACGCTAAACACGCAAATATGGGAAAACGCAGCTAATTGCGGCAAAATGCCACTAAACGCTAATGCAAAAAATGCTAAAAAAAAACTAAAAAACTCACATTTTTAACGTGACTTTACACAGCTAGCGTTACCAGCGTTATTGAAACGTACAGTGTGCATGGAGCCTAAAGAACTGTATCTGCAGCATGTATACAACCTCACCCTCTGATCGTTAGAACGGGATCCGGGGCTCTCAGTGACACCCCAGCAGGGGCGGACTGACCATTTGGAAACTCGGGCACTGCCCGAGGGCCTGGGGTCAGTAGGGGGCCTCATGAGATACCCCTGGTAACTCTTGTCATAGGCTTTTTTGAGTTTGGGCAAGGACACAGGGGCCCCATGATCCCCTATTGCCCGGGGGCCCCGTGAGTTGTCAGTCCTCCCCTGCACCCCGGTCTTTGTGCTGGGAGCGTGCTCTCCAGCATAAAGACAGGTATGCAAATATGCGGCCCCACGGAAAGAAGCCCAGTTCTGTGAGGCCGCATATTTGGGTGACATTGGCTTGAAGGGGTTAAGCAATCTCAGCTCTACTCAGTACAGTAGAGCCCCAAAATAACTAAATTTGCCTATACTATTAGCACCTAACTAAAAGGGTTCTACACAAGATATGTAGGGAATTCATACAACAGCACAGTGCTTGCCAATAACAAACACATTTATGGGTAAAATGACAAAATCAAACAAGACACAAGGCAAACGATGACAAACTGATAGTACAGTTTGTTTGGAAAATTATAGCACTGTTGTGTCAGCGATGTATTTGTGTAGACTTGTAAAGTTCTTAATAGATCCACTTAAAGAGTGATGCAAAACCTTCAGAGCTCAATGAAACAAATTATTTAATGTAATTACTTTTGAGAGGGACAATTGACAAATGCTTGCATGCATACAGTATTTCATCAGGGGCACAAAAACACCTACGTGTAGGGACACAGAAGACTGCACCTCATTACATCAGACAGCTTCTATTTGCTTTAACTACTGCAGCCACAATTAAATACAATATTCTTCAAGTTAAAAAAAAAGCTGGCTAGCTGAGAAAACGCATAAAAAAATGTATAATTTAAAACTCTGGCAATTCATTTCACAATGTTGCCTTTTGCGAGCATACAGATGCACTCTGTGGGAAGAATATTAAGCATTGTTCACAATTCAATCTTGGAAACTAATGAGAAAAGTACTGATCTGGGTACTTTGCGGATAAAGGAAGCATACAAGCTCTGAGAATGTGAAGAGTTCCTGAGCAGAGATAAACAGATGCCAGGTTCATGGTTCATAATCAGAACACAATCTATTGTCTCCTCATACAACTCGTCTGGCAACATGGAAATAGAATTACTACAGTGCTGGAGCGGTGCCAGTAATTTGCCATTATACTCAGTGACATTATGTTATGCCTACATATTTGTTATCATGCATTAATTGAATAGATGGCTTATATTTTGAATAGGAATGTGGCACATTGTGATTCAAACGAAATAGATGTGCTTCCACACACATAGATAATAAAAGAGATTTTATTTATATTTCAGTTTTTCTGCTCTCTCCTTTCAGTTTGCCGCTGCAGTGCTGCTATTAATGAGTGTTTTTAGACAAAAGAATATACTGGTATTGAGAAATCAATAATCTTTCGAGTTTGATTAAAACACAAGGCTTTTGAAACAACCCATGCCAAACAAATGGGAATGAGATTTGACTCAAGAGGCATTATAACACGTGAGTCAAGGCAAAAAAACAGACCTGTTTGGAGCACACTGCCTAAATGTTGCTGATCTAATGATAACACTAAGGCAAGCCCTGCTAGGTGATTCGATTTTTCTTCCCTGCAACCATGGGTCAGGATTGATGGGAGAGAATGCCTACCATGGATCTATTGTGTTCTGCTGACAGGGAGCCTTCCTGGCCTGCAGGACACAATGATTACTGCTAGTGGATATAGTCACCGGCAGTAATTGCATGTAAAAAATTGATTGATGGATCAATTTAGCTAGAACCAGCCTGCCCATACAGTAGATGGATCAAATCTCGGCTGGTCCCTGCGGAACGGGCCGAGATTCAATTAATCTATGGTTGGCTTAAGTCATCCTTGAACTGGTATACTGATTGTAGAATTGTGCCAACAAGAATTGGACAGATGGGACTGGAGATCAACATCTAACCGTGAGTTTCATGAAAAATGTCAAATCTAGACTTTTTATCACTTCTAAATAATGAATTGAAGTAACACATGAATTAGGGAAATCTAGCAGCACTATAGGTTACAGGAGAAGTGATGGGAGCACATGATCAGTTTTTCAACTTGAATAAAGTGGATCCCAGGGCTAATGAAGTAACACTTTCATAACACAGCACTTTCCCTTTAAAATAACTATGTTGTTATTCAAAAACTATGTTGTTATTCAGGGGTTGATTTACTAAGACTGGAAAGTGTAAAATCTGGTGCAGCTCTGCATGGTAGCAAATAAGCTTCTAACTTCAGCTTGTTCAATTAAGCTTTGACAAAACCCCTGAAAAATGATTGGTTTTTATGCAGAGTTGCACCAGATTTTGCACTCCCCAGTTTTATTAAATCAACCCCACAAGTACAATGTTGTAATTGCTTTTGGTATAGTCACATAGCCCATATCAGCCTCAAAAGACCACATGGTCCCTGCTGATCCAGCCGAATTGTGATCTATGTATGGGCAGGAATGTTGTACAAAAGTCAATCTACTAATCTGTACAACTCTCCTGATGGATTTTCCCCACTTGATCAGCACCAACAGCTATAGCTTGGCAGAGCTGATCAGTGCATTTTGATGGCAGGGAAGTCTCTTCACTGTAAGAATAAATAGCACAGCAGGGAAGACTCCTCCATCCACATCCAATGTGCGGATGGGGGAACGAGTTAGTCCTTTGTTCAACGTGCTTGACAAATGAAAAAAATCTGACTCATCTATTAGCTGCTTTAGGTAGGATAAAGTGGTATGTTGTCAGTCAGAGAGCAGGAAAAAATAAGGTTGAAAAAAATCTAGTGCATTGACTAAATGTTTGTTTTTGCCCAGAGTTACTCTTTAACCACTTCCATACAGGGCACTTTTACCCCTTCCTGCCCAGGCCAATTTTCAGGTTTCTGTACTCTCACACTTTGAATGACAATTGCGCGGTCATACAACGTTGTACACAAACTAAAATTTTATCATTTTCTTCACACAACTAGAGCTTTCTTTTGGTGGTATTTAATCAACACTGGGATTTTTATTTTTTGCTAAATTAACAGAAAAAAGACCAAAAATGTTGAAAAAAACCCACATTTTTCTTTGTTTCTGTTGTAAAAGTTTGCAAATAAATAATTGTTCTTCATAAATTTTGGCCAAAATGTATTCTACTACATGTCTTTGGTGAAAATAACCCAAATTAGTATTTATTATTTAGTCTGTAGGAAAGTTATAGAGTTCACAAACTATGGTATAGATCTGAAGTACTGACAGCCAATCTAATTTCTTGAGGTCCAAGAATGTCAGAACAGTACAGATATCCCCCAAATGACCCCTTTTTGCAAAGTAGACAGTCCAACGTATTTCACAAGAGGCATGGAGAGTTTTTTGAAGTTGTAATTTTTTTGTCATAATTTTTCGGAAATTAAAATATTTTCACTATTTTTTTTTTTACATACTGTCACCAGTGCAGTACAGCACCATCAAATAACTGGCATGGCAGTGATCAGGGACACTGACTGGTGACAGTACGAAAAAAAAAAATGGATAATTTTTTTTTTTCTATTATTTTTTATTACATTTTTTTAAGATTTTCATATTTCACTATAACCAAAGTAGTATAATGTTACCATAGTAACATTGTACTACTTTGGGGAAGTGATCAGTATTTTTACACAATTTGCTTATAGCAAAGAATTACTTTGCTATAAGCAAGCATTTACCTGAATGAAATCGATTCATTCAGGGTTTTTTTTGACATGAAAGGAAAAAACATCCATTGTATACAACTATCATGTGACCTGCTGTGATTGGTCACAGCAGGTCACATGGTACTGGCAACGGGGCCGGTACACAGATCTGTCATCGGCTGAGGTACACGGCCGGTGACAGATCGTGCTGCTGCGTGGCTCTGCGGGCACGCAAACTGCGCATGCCTGAAAGGACGCCATATGGCGTCCACCTGGAGGGACGAGGTGTTCGCCTGGCCGCCATCTGGCCATAGGCCAGGCGGGAAGTGGTTAAAAGTATCCAGACAAATTTTTTTTTTTGTATAGAGTACGGGGAGGATTACAACCCTTGTCAGATTTCAATTCCATTTATTTATTATTTATTTCAGGTACTTATATAGCGCTGTCAATTTACACAGTGCTTTACACATATATATTGTACATTCACATCAGTCCCTAACCCTCAAGGGGCATACAATCTAAGGTCCCTAACTCATATCCATACATACACATATTAGGGCCAATTTAGACAGGAGTCAATTAACCTACCAGCATGTCTTTGGAGTGTGGGAGGAAACTGGAGTACCCGGAGGAAACCCACGCAGGCACAGGGAGAACATGCAAACTCCAGGCAGGTGGTGCAGTGGCTGGGATTCGAACCAATGACCCTAGTACTGCCAGGCGGAAGTGCTAACCATTTAGCTACTGTGCTGCCCATTTAATGGTGCATTAGAAAGATTTCCACTCATAGTCCACTCTTATAGTCTGACTGACAATAGTTTCACCAGATAGGAAGTGAGGGGAAATCTAACACAGGAACATAGTCAGCAATACAAGGATTTTAGCCTTCCCTATTCTACTTTAGAAAAAAATCTGTGCTGCTGCAGGAATTAATGACAAAGAATGGTCATTGTGTGCATGTGACAACAAAATCACAAATTCTCCACAAATGTGGCTTGTATGGGAAGGTTGCAAGAAACAATCCACTCCTCAAGAAAGGCCACATGCAGTCATGACTGAACTTTGCCAAAATGCACCTTGAAGATTCTGAGGCCACATGGAAAAAGGTGTTGTGGTCAGATGAGACTAAAATTTAATTACTTCACTAAACGATATGCCTGGTGGAAATCCAATGCAGCTCACCATCCAAATAACACATTCCTAAGTAAAGCATGGAGGTGGTAATATCCTGTTATGGGGGTGTTTCTCTACAGCAGAGACTGGAGCACTTGTCTGGATAAAAGGAAAAATGGATGGGGCAAAATACTACCACATTCTTGGGGAAGATCTGCTGCCCTCTGCCAGAAAGTGGTCAATGGGAAGAAGGTTTACCTTCCAACATGACAATGACCCAAAACACATAGAAAAAATGAACACACAGTGGTTGTAGGAGAAAAAAATGAATGTCCTTGCATTGCCTAGTCATAGCCCAGAATTAAACCCCATTGAAAATCTGTGGAAT